GTTATAGTTATCACTAAAGAATTAAAAAGGCGAGACGATAAGTAATAATAGTTAATAGGTTTACCGGTAGCAGGAGGCACACCAAAGCATGAATGCCTGAGGACGTTTAATTAGCATACCGTGGATGCTGAGAATACTGAGTCCTGCATGCATAAGAACATTTTGCATTGCAAAATCAGAAGTGAGACAAGCAACCTGAGGCAGAGGCAGATCATACTTGTCCAAAGAAACCTGATCATCACTATAAAAAATAATTTAAAAGTATAAACAAAATAAAAACACAAAACGTACACTATAGTGCCACCAAGGCCATAATTACTTAAAGATTTATCTTCAAAATTATCAGCAGTAATCCAATCATCTTCAGTGGTTGAGTGGTCAATACCTTTATCAATGTGATTTAATTGCGTAGACAATTTTGTGGCGTTTAGTTCACAAGAATCGTCTTCTTCGGAAACCCCATCACTCTCAGAAGGGCTACAGTCATCCCGTTTATATTCTGGGATAAAAGAAAATGCTAGAGGAAGAAAAGCAGGCATCTCAGAAATCTTAGTGCAACTAAATATTTGATGAGGACAAACCTCCAATTCCTTGGGGTCACCAACAAGGTTGCAGTGTAACTGATAGGTTAGGGCTATTAAGCTTATATCGATCTTGGAGAGGGCCGTGAAGTCGCCCGTCTTTTTGGACAATTTTACAACTAAAGTATCTAACTATGAACTATATACCTCGATTTATATAATCCTGCTCAGGGCTGACAAGTCTGATGGGGACCTGGATGCTTTGTATAAATTCTCTAGTCTTCACATCCTTAAGCTCACGGATGACTTCAGGGGAAGTACAAATTTCCACTCCAAAGTTCTATATGCTTTATATAGAAAAGTATCAGAAACCAACATCAAATTTGAACCGTCTAAGGAATGAGGATGAGTCAGCTACAATGTGGGCGACTTTAGGCTTGTCAGGGTCGCACATGGTGAAGCTATAGGCATTTGGCAAGCGCTGCACAGGAGTTAGAGCAAACAAACAAAAGGTTTTAATAGA